TAGTAGAAAGCTTAGGCTGGGCTTTGATCTGGCAATGGAAGGAGCTCTATGGGAATATTCATGCGAGCCCCTAGTGAAAAAACAATCCCATCCTTATAGGACATACTAGCCATTTCACTACGATAAAAATATGCTAATTGTAGTAAACTGGATATGACACTGAGGGGCGAATATCTGTTCACGTAGATTCACGTAGGACTCGGTCTTTATTTTCGTACGAAATAAACGGCGATTAAGTAACTTGTCTAATCTATAATTATATGAAATAGTGTAAAGTTATATTTACTTGCACATTATCCTAGACTATAGATCGAAAGACGTTCAGAAAGCCCTTATCCACGTGGAGCATCGATTTTCGGGATCGTATCGTACTACGTCAAATCGTTAACGTAATATACTTCATTTGTGTTGAAGGCACATTGAGCTCAGTGTTGCTTTTGAAGGCGATAAATGCTACATTTCGCTTGTCTGTTACGAACTATGTGATTATGCCCTGGGTCACAATGTCATCACCTGGAAGTGACTGAAATCCTTCTCGAATGTAAAAATGAGTTTGAACGTTGTTAAGCTTGGAACAAACGTCTTGGGACAACTAAATAAATAGTAGTAATAAATAGTAGTAAATAGTAAATAATCGACCATAATCGGTTAGATCTAATATTCTTCAACAGCCGAAAGGAGTCATAAGGCAGGAGTCGAAAAAAATAATCGGTGGAAACAATTCCGTCCGATGTACCGAACCGGCAGTAATCTACAAAATGTCATCTATTAGTACCAGAGGACTAAATCAAATGTTTCAAAAAAGGAAACGTACAACGTACAATACTATTATAATTCGTATCCAATCATTTAAGTCACATTTAGATTTTCACACGGTTTGCGATCATTTCCAATCCACGGATCATACACAACTCACGCGTCGTTCGATTGGGAAGTTGGATTTACGAGACAGAATTCTGTGATGATACAACATTGCAGTTGTATATACATACCCTTACATATATTCAACGAGAGTAAAAACAATTTCCCTTTTGTTTTTATTGTGTAAGATACTTTATTAATGACTTTCGCCGCAGTAAGACAAAGTATTCAACAGTGCGCGAAGTTGTTATGAATATAGTTGTTCTTAATTAAATTGTACAAAATGTCCATATTTTCGTTTTGAATAAGCATATCTTTCTTTTTGCTACTTGTTTAACTTAGCGCTAATTTTCTTCGTTTGTTTGCCTTTCTCTCTCTCTCTCTCTCTCTCTCTCTCTCTCTATATATATATATATATATATATATATATATATATATATATATATATATTATTTTTCTCTCTATTCGTCGCAACATTATAGTTTGAAGAAAAAAGGTTCGTCTTTTATCTGAGCGCTCGACTTCATTCTATCTCTGTACACAAGGAGAGCACCGCAATACCGATTTTTCTGCTACTCTAGATTTCCGCCTGAGCTAATCGCTTTCTACCTAAGTTCTTATTCTTACTTCCGCTTTAAGTCTGTCGGCATCTAAAGGTATCGACCATTGCCTAGTATCCTTTTTTCTACTGCCTTTCCCGTCAGTCGTTCCTACTTTTGAGTAGACGAGCCGCAATACAAGAGAGCCTTGAGGAAAAACATGTGAACCTATTGACGTTCTTACCGAATGCGTTGACGCATGTTAATGTCGCAGCTTCCCGCAATCCAGTCAATACTGCCGGTTCTCCAGAACAGCCCAACCAGAACTCAAATTAACACTTCTCTCCGCCATGGCCTTTATTTCCACAAAAAATCTTCATGCATGTCCATGCGTACATCTGTCCTCGCCCAATATACCTGCCGAGGCAAGGAGCCTTTTTGATGTCTCCGATTTTTATTTACTTTGTATTTTTCTACAATACCTTTAGTATGTTATGTATCATATATACTGCGAGGTTTCTATGAGGTGCACTGTTTTTGTTCGCGTATCAAACGATCTGCACCCTGCTAAACGTAGCCAATCCCCAAAGACGCCAGTGTAACGTGACCGGCTCTGAGAAACCGATATACAGAAGGTCTTATATATCTCTTTTGCGTACGATGGTTTTTTTGTGTATGCACGCGCTTTCATGTTTGGTAGGACTGGCTATGACAGTATAACCACCGATAAATCCAATTCTGGAGTAACTGAGTGACAACAATACTGGAATTGTTCGATGCATCTTTGAATGGTTGTCCGACTCTCTGTCTACTCGACGTTCATGGCAGTCGTATTGTGGCCGACCTGACATAACTAATTGCTGAGTGTCATGTAAACAAATAACATTACAAATCATACACGGTAACCGACAAGGCTTAATCACTAAAATTCACAGCAGAGACAGTACTTTCTTCATCTCGAAAACAAATCGACTGCTTCGTTCATCCGTGATCAGCGGCGAAGCTTAAAACCGTCGTTTCTAGTTGCTATGTTCTCCTCCAACAGGTGGTGGTGCTTCTCTACACAACAACTAAACGGAATCGATGATGATTTCTGAGAAATCTCACGAAGATCACATTGCATTTTATGCTCCCAATGATCCTAGTTTATTTTCACAATGAAAACAAAGACGACTGATTGGACGCACTGAGCATAAAAAAGAGAAACCTTTTATTAAGATTCAGATTTACTAAAAATGTTCTGTTAAGTTACGCTTTTAAATGGCCTCGCTTGCTAGAGGTTTTTTTTTTGATGATGACTAATGACAGCCCGCAAATCCACAATATCAGTGCTAGAGTGCTGGTAAGCTAAGAATCTACCTGGATGCTTATCATGCATGGTCCTTGTGTGCAGTAGAGTTCGCGGCAACACAGATTGATGCTTTTTTGCATGAGTGTTCAAAATCAGTCTGGAGTTTTTCCGTCAATTAGCTTCGATCTGCAGTGAACAAAGCAGGATCCCAAGAGTGTGTAATTCAGCAGAGGCATGAGTGTCTTGCAAACCATATGTGTGTGATTGAGAAAGTTATTTTTTATGTTGTTACTTTTCATATTTTATTTTCGCCACTCTCCACCACCGAAATTGCGAGCGTTTCCTGGCATTTTCTATATGTACATACCATGCACATATGCTATATGTATTTTCCGTACATGTCTTTTTCGTGAACTTTTTCCTGTTTCATTTTAAATGAGGCAAAATTAACGTACAGTTTCGAGCGATTAGTTCGATTATCTAGAGATGCGCTGTAAATGAGTATCAAGGTGGCTTTTTCCTGCTGTCGTCTATCGCTAGATAGACTCACCGCCTCTCTTCGATCACTGCATCACTTGCTTATCCCAGTGTTTATAATCTTCTACATATATTTAGGATTGTTTCATTCAGGAGTTGGTTTTATTGTTCTGCTCTAACGTTAAATCTACGCCCTTCAAATACCATTATGTTATGTTGCAGATATTTTTATAACCTTCGACAACACCTGTATATATATATATATATATATATAGGTTGTCATTATCTGTTCGATAAATGTTCAGTTTATTTTGTTATGAAGTCGCCCTTTTTATCGTTCCTAAACGATAATAACCTGTTCCATGATTACGCTATTATAGCAGATAATTAGTTTCTTGATCCTTAGCACTTCTATTTGTTCGTACTCATCTGGTGCTAGGTCCGTTCTAGTCCCTCGGTCACCATTTTTACTGTTCGACTCAAACGCCATCTAGTGAGCTAGGTAGAAAATTTCTTTCGTCATTTATCACTGCTTGTATAATGCGTATGGACATGCATGTTTGACAGAAAGCTGATTGCCATTTATCAATAAGAAACCTTTAGTATCTTACTTTGTCAACCAGACAGCGACTGCTAAATCGCCCACCCTATATATATATATATATGATTGTACATATTACTCTTCTGCGTGTTCGAGCACCCACTTGTATAAAATGACATCAGTAGTAATAGCGTCAGTAATAATAACATCGGTTGTTTATTTTCATATTGTTTGTTGTATAAAAATGGTAAAACCATTCAGCAGGGATGAATTCTCTTGCCATTGCTGTCGCCGCGCGCTAGCAACCGAGAATTTCATCTTCGAGAGCAGAAATGGAGGGTTACCATCGATACATGTGTATAATAATAACAGTTCTCGTAACGATACGAATGATACCCGCACACGACGTCTTTGGAAACGGAGTGATTCAGTTGTGGCTTGCTCGTCTGTCCGCTGCAAACACGCAGAGACATTTTTCTTTCGTCGTGCAAAACGAAGTACGCAATGCTGCTATATCAATGTTTTGCAATTTATAAATTATTGTAATGCAACATTATACGTTCTCACTTATATTTGTTGTTAGTCATTTCGGGCGTGTCACCACTCATCACCCATTGTCGCGTACCATTCGATCATAATACACAAAAAACACGTTGATTCATCGATTTGACGTTTAAGAGGGCGATGCGTACTGTGTGCCTTATACGCTCATCACTAACTTGTTTTGCTAAAGCTAGCTCCAAAGATAAATTTCTATTGTTCATCATCGGTTTTTTTTTGCTCCAATGCGTATCCTCTGTCTTAACAAACGTTCGAAGTTCATGCGAAGAAGATGAGCCCCTTAACCGTAGCATTATTAACCCGATCTTAGTGCAGTATGCAGTGTTTATCTGCTGAAATTAAAAATCGGGACTGTCTAGGTTCGAATCCGGGTGTAGGCACACTGTCTCATGATGGAAGCCAGCTTTCCGAACTGACCCGGAACGACTCATAGCGTATACGTAAATGTTGTGTTCGTCGTATTCTTGCACCCTTAATTTGCGTAAAATGCAACAAACAAATACGATATAGAAATCCAGTTCTGTATGATTTGTCGTATCGTTTTTTGCGCCCTTCCCTAATACAATTACAGTAATAATCCTCGAAAATTCATATATCAGTTTATATTGTCATGCTAAAAATAATACACAATAATTGTAGGCTTAAACACCTTGAATGGATGCTCGGATACTCGTTCAAACTGTGCTTTTACTTTTTTCGTCACTTCGACACACATGCCCAATTGTATATGAATAATTTTTGGGTTTGCTTTTTTTTTTTTTTAGAAAATGTATGTTACACCACCGCCGCATTTCGCTTTCATATTAAAAATTAATTGTGTCGCATGATCTTCCAAAGATGATTTTCGTTAAAGTAATCTCATGAAAAAGAAACATGTGTCAACAAGCGTCTTGTTGGTATGACGAGATCCGTTCTTAATTATTTCTCTTGTCTGTTAACATCTGTATAGGCTGGTATCGAACGACAGAAACACGTGCGTTTAACTGCACGAACGGATTAAATAGTCTGGACCACTGGGCAATAAACTCCGTACGTTACTTATTGGTATCAGTCACTGCGGGCGATGATGAGACCCACTTTTCGGCCCCGTTTACTGGCATCCTGCGTTCTTCACTAGATTGTACTTGCCCTCTAATTACCATATAGTTCGAACTGTCGAAAAAGAAGACCCTCATTTTCTCTTTACTGAGTTGTGCTGCCAATCATCGCATAGACGATTATCTTACTGATTTACTGTGCTCGCTTGCGTATCTGCGTGTGTATCTATATAGTTATTGTTGATGAATTATCTTCTGAAGCTAAAGCTGGCTCTTTTAATCGTTCCCAGATCATTTTCTCTCTTGAGGATGTTTTTTTCCGAATTTTTAGGGATTCAGAGGTCGCATGGTCGGCTAACTTCCTAATTGACCTACATGAACACTGATTGTATTAGGATTTCCTATATATCGACGACGAGCGCAGACATATACGTTTCATGGTGATTTTTTCACTCTTTCATTGCTTCCTACATCCTTCCCGCATCAAGCATCATTCGTTCCATACCTTCTAAAACACACTCTAGGTCTATCTAAATCTTTTTCTCTAAGGCAACTGGAGGCAAATCCCGCCTCGACCAACTAGCTCAATATTCGAGCTCAGTATTTGTTATCTCATCGCGATCAGGTTATTCGTTATATTAATCTGTCACACGTCATTTTTATCTAGTTCGGCCAAGTCCAAACACCATCTTGCAATCATATCAGGAATATTACTAACGACGCATCGAAACAATCGTCAATTGAGACGGCAGTACTATTCACTGGCAACTGTAACTGCAGATGCAGTAGCATTTACCACAAGCCAACCCATCTAACCGTTCCCCTACTTTGCCCTTTATATCCACTCGTTCCTCCTCTGCGTTGAGATACAATCGCTTAGGCGGGATAGCACAATCACATCTAACCGTACCTTACATCTTTGTCCGATTCAACTTCCCTCGACCCAGCCAGTAACGTCTGTTAACTGACAAGCTATTTTACCTAGAACTAGTACAAGACCGTCTTGTTTCAATAGTCAGTCTCTGATTGTTGATGATCATGATGGTAGGGTATGATGGTCTCTGCAAAACTGAGAATGGCAAGCGTCAAACAGTATCTCCCTACGCTTTCAACCTATTCAGTCTTCGGTTACTCTCAAATGTTTGTAGCTTCAGCGACAATACAAGACGGGAACTTGTTCGGCTCCATGTTGTTTTCAAATTTTCGCGCTCGTCACAGTGAGCAGACGATATATTCACGCGTTCTCTATTGTCACGTTGTGCTCGTTCTTCTTCCCCTAAATTAGGACACAGTCACGATCTTGGTTAGTTGCCTGCCAAGCAAGTCTCGGCCTGCAAAATGCAACGGCTCCACACTACAGGCTACAGCCTATTCTGTCCTGCCTGGCCGCAACGAAAACGATGACTGGAGACTTCCAACAGCTTATATCCTGTTTAGCCTGTTGCTTGACAAGTTTATGCTTGTTTTTATAACGATTTCGCGAATCATTTGGCTACAGCCAACTGGTCAAGTGATTGCGCCCTTAGTAATGTTAACGATTTCGTTACAGTCTCCGTCTTGGCAAGGCGTGAATACGCTTTAATGGCAACGTAAGCTAATGGTGGCGGGCGGAAACCGACGATTGACATGAGAAGAAATAGCAAACTGATATGATCACGGCCTGGCAATTTCATCTGAAGGTTCACTTTTTCTGTAATATTCAATGTTTAGTCTTGCTTGTCCTGCGCCTTCGTGTCGTCACTGCCGATTTTCCCACCGTTGCCAATTGAAGCGTCTCTATTTACCAAGCCGTTGGAGCTATCGCGGGCCATACGTTTAACTAATGGCATCGCTTGGAACGAGGAGAAGAACCATATAGCGAGTAGAATTGATGGAACGTAATAGAATGAAGCGTACACCTAAAATAATAGAATAGACAATTGAAATAACTGAGTATCAATAATTTGCTGTGCAGCCGAAGTGAAGGAGTTGACAAGATACACTAACAATTTTATTTTCACAATCATCAGTAGTCATATCGGTACAATGTGCTCCACTTTTAGTACTAGCATTGAGATTCATATAAACAGGGTCCACGTAGTCGGTTCTATATAAGGTTACTTCGGCTGTAATATGCAATCACATTCTATAAGGAGAGACAGAGAAAATACACAACGAACTATACTATTTATTATATAAGGGTAGATCTAGTAGATCTACCCTTATATGATAAGTAAACAACCAATGTAGTTATAGATAACTAGTAATACTGTGTAGTTGAAAATCTGCGACAACCGCGATAAATTAGCTTTCTTACTAACCTGATGGAATTTATACGGCTTGAGTAGAATAAATGGCACCAAACAATAGCCGAATAACGAGGCAACATAAATCTTCATGAAGATCAAACGGAGCCATTGAAGCTTTTCATGGTAAACGACATTTCGGACACGCGGAAAACTGTCGATAATCTACAGATGTTGCGTGAAACAGTGACCAAACAAGACATAATTAAAAATACCCTCAAGTTCTGTTCTATTCTTTTCTATATATAGCCCGGCTTTAAAGACTTAATGGAAGTTCTGTTAGTGAAAAAGGCAATATAGAAGATACGGGCAAAGACTTGTTTGTAATTCTCTTGCCCACATCTCATAACGCCATTATCATTCATCCCCCAAGCAGCGTGGAGAATAATATTACGAAGTGTAATGGCATTGTGTTCTAGCACACCTTGTATATGCAAGAGACTTCACATGGATATATTTCATATAAGTAATAAAGTAACGACGCGCTCATATCTATTATGCCGAAAAGATGACGATGTCACACTACGTAAAACCTTATAAGTAAATGTCACCTACCTGGGAAACGTCTCGTTCGAATTTCATTACAAGGAATTCGTTCAAGAAACAGATGTAGTACCCCATATGAAATCCATGCCAAAGGGCAAGGAATCCCAATGCGACAATATGACTTACGTTCTTATTACCTGTTGAGATTGAAAGAAAAATTCAAGCAGAAGGCAAGAGTTGATGTGAAGCACAGCAGAAAGACGAAATGGAGCATCTATCATTTCTAAGGCGCTTTTCAGAAAAGGACAAGTCATGAAATCCAACTGCTTGATTACGACTGTCACACAACAAATGTACCATGTTTTCGACTAATTTTAACTCTCGAATTTAACGAAGGCTTGGCATCGCGTTCGAGTCAATCACTGTGAACATCACGTAGATTTACAGACCAAGAAGATTATCGTAAAGGAAAATTCTAACATTGACTGAATGTTTTTCCTTCATCTCATGCGTTACTGTAGACATCTCTAGAGAGAGATGAAAAATACAACTGGGCTTAAACGAAATCAGTATTTCAAATGTTTCATAAATATTTTGTAATCACAATATTCACTTTATTAGTGAAGGGTTTCTTTGAATCGAAGTTGTCGGAAAGCCCTGATCAAAGCCTGACATTACCATGCCACGTACCTAGGTATGAAATCCGATGTCCGTGAATAAGGTTTCTATATTAACCTTTTAAGAAAGCAAAAACATACCTAAAAATTTGAGACGTTTGTAGATATATTGAGCCACCCATTTATTGGTGTTGATATTGAAGGCCCGGATGAAGCCATCGAAGTTTGTCGTCATCTCAAAACGCCACACCCAGATATTCTGAAGTCCATTCCACTGATTGATGCCATGGGCATTGCGTCCATTGTACGATAGCCCGCTCAGTGCACAACTGCCTTCCTGTAAATGTTCAATGCAATAGTGATGGCACATGAAATCAGATCGGTATTAGATCATTCATAGGAAATTTTCTATGAACATTACTCTTAGCTTAAAGCTCTGTGCTAATCATACAAAAATATCCGTGTCGCTTATACATAAATTTCGCTCGACTGAATTTGCAATCGTTGTTGCTGTATCGAACTCACCGCCATAAGCCAACACGCGACATATTTATGTAGTGTGATTGTTCCGAACAGCCCTAGAAATAGCCATCGAGCACACCAGCTCCACTGTGTGAGATATTCTTCCGAAAGGATCACCTTTGAAAGAAATAATCGGTTATACATTTAGCCAGCGATTATATTCGGACGCCTCATAGCACCATACTCGCAATCCAGTAATAGGAACATGGGTATACTCCTGTTAGTATATGTATTAATTAATTGTTTTAAAAACCTTGGAATTACGGTGCTAAGTCCAATAAACATTGGAGACCACACTGAACTTTTTTCGCATAACCAAGTGAAGATGCAGATAGCTAGGTGCTATGTTCGTTAAGACTTGTTAGCTGGGGTAGCTAGAGCTGTAAGCTGAGGTTGTTAGCTGAAAAGGGTAAAATTACTATTACGCATAGGATACCCGCTAAAAAGTTCGAAATTATCCCAAAGCCAGGCAGCTAGTTATTTCAAAAATGACTAGACATTGATCGATCGGTGTTTCGTTTTCCAAACACAATAATGATTCCGATATATATTAATTGCACTATACTTACATTCATAACGAGACGGGATTTGTTACGATACGAGATAATTTTTCCACGACATTCAATGTTTATCACGCGTTTCTCTTTTAGTATTGACCCCGGTTTAAGTAAGTTGAACACACTGCCTATCTAGTCATAATTCTGCTGGTCCGCTTACAGGCGCAACGTTACACAAATGTTTCTGACGCCTATTCTAAATCAGTTCGTTTTAGATTTAGCTATCCTTTTCGTTCTGTGTAGTAGTTACCTTATCATTAACGTATATTGCGCCAATCTGATAGAAAGCCATCATTATCAAGCCCATAATGAGCCGGCTCATAGAATACGACACACTGAAAAAATACAGATACGAATACAGATGGTGTTCAAGATCATTTCAACAATTAGGTAGAAGCATAAATGCAAAATGCGCATTGCAATTAATCAGGCGCAAAAAAAGAATCATTGTGTTTACACACTATGCATATATAACAATGCATAGGATGTAATAAGGTATAAAAGAATATGGCTGTTCACGAATACTGTTCAGTTATTCTTAACTGTGTAGCTACTCATGTGCACCTGTTTGCTATTTCTGTTTTCTGACTCGGCCAGAGAGTTCCCTGCACGAAGTCCTGGTAACGGCGCATGGAGAACTGGGGCCCAACCATGCAGCCGCCAAAATAATAAGAGTGACCCAGCATTTCGAGGGGACTCGGCACTTTGTCCAGAGCGGTTGCTTGAAGATCGGGCGGCAGCTTGCTCTATAAATTAAAGCACGCAAAAGCAAATAGTTTCGTAGGTGGATCGGAACGTTGCCTGAGTGTATGTTCAAGTATAAGCTACGATACAAACAGTTTTATATGAGCACAGAGAGACTGGCAAGACGTCGACATTTTTAATACTTTTTTAATCTGATAATAATAACATACATATTCGTTAATTGATTGATCAACGATTGAATGAGGTTGTTCTACTTTACGGCAAGTACACGAGTGACCTGCTTGATTCTATTGGTGGTAAGTACAAAGTCTTTGTACCTCATCAGTGCAACTCCATTGTTAATCAAAACAGGCTTCACCGAATTATTGAAATAGTCCAACGGAACCTTTTATTTGCCTGACGGGACAGTTTGCAGTATTCATGGAGAGAACTTAAAGACAGTCTAATTAATAAAGGAACCTTAAATCACTTACAGTTAAACGTGATTTCAATTCAACTGTGAGTTCTCTCCACGAATACTGCAAATTGTCCCGTCAGGCAAATAAAAGGTCCCGTTGGACCATTTCAACACTTCAGTGGCGCCTACTTTGATCAGCAGTGGAGTCGCATTGACGAGAAAAATGAATTTTCGCTCTAGAACGTCTTATGGTCAATAGCAGCCAATAATCAACAATAAAAAGCATTAACAGTAAATACGCAGAACATCAAAAGATAATTATTTTGGGATATAAATATACCGTTAATTTTGTCTCACCAACTCACTGGCATAAGAGTTCTTATGTAACTACGAGAACACATGCACAATACGAAAAATATTCAAAAAAAGAAATGAAAATTTAACATACATCGACAGTGTTAACCTGAAAGTGAAATGAACTTAAAAGTTAGTACACAGGTTATAGAAAGATGCAAAACCTAATTATATCGTGTCGTAATTAAAAATTGGCATACATAAGTGGCTAACATCGATTTTATCGTCATAGTAACGATATAATGCTATTAGCAGTGCTAATAATAACTATTACTATTATTGTTATTCTTATTATTAAGTAACCCTCAGGTCTGGTGTATCCAGCTTATTTTATCTTATTTTCGATGCTGGATCCAAGGATCAAGGACTCTATAACCCTATACGCCAATGCATTTCTTTAAGTTCTATGTTAATGGCACTAACACCCGCCTAGGTAAATTGCTTAGCTTGCTACAAGATACTTCCATTATTGGCGTTCAACAGAATAAGCATGAAGTATCAAGATAACAAATGGCTGACTCTCATTTCATCTATATATACACATCATGCGCGAACCTCTGATACCGAGAAGAACGCCTGGCTTCACTGTTCCAACATGGAAAATTTATTGTGGAAGAAACATAAATTTTTCGTGACATTCGTCAAACACCATTAAATATCTATACACATTTCAATCGCCATTAGCTGATCTCATCAACTGACCGGGGCTATGGATAGCTATACAAATACGCGGATTAAGACACTAACTAATTCATCATTGAAACAAGCACTCGTAAAACAATTACGAGTAGTGGTTACATTCGGTACCATGTACACAAACAAGTATGGCAATGCTAAATAGAACAATTATTATCACTATTTCTGCAACTACAATTTTGCCATTTACTATTTTATCCGAGCGAGCTGGTCCAGGTCGCTGTTTATACCCGCTTGTGGTCTTCAGACAAATTCGTACCCAGTGAGCATTGAACGGCTGTGGATGCAAAGAATTTCCCACTCCCTCAAATCATTAAGTGGGCATAACTGGTGGCGCCAAACGGTAGGATGAAATCCACCAGGATATATATGAATAATACTTAATATTCATAATAGCTCTCACAATGAAAACAGCCGAAGCAATTGTAATAGCTGTCGATACTCACCAAGTCCTTGGCTCCCCCATCGTAGTAATCAAACGCAACCCCGATGAGGCGAAGACAGAGAATGCAATGTGGCATTGTCCACTTGATGTCGTAGTTGTCCGTGGCCGTGAAGAGGTAGCCCATCAATAGATAACCCTGTTAGTTCAGAAGTAGACGGAGCGAACGGAAGTGTTGGCAGTGTGAAACGCAGGTTTAGAACAAAGGACAAATCGAGCGGGCTACGGGTATTATAATAGGTAAGCAATCCTGCGAAGCTGTAACGCAGGGCCAATATTAGAAAAAATTGTTCGTACGGCAATACACTTTAAATGATGAAGATGACGGTTTGCCGACATTCTGTTAACCGTCACAGATACCTAAATGTGGCGTCAGAGCATCAGATTGGTTAGCGATTAAATCTTTCTTTGTTCTGTGATGAGGCAACTGCCAGTGAATGATATGAAACCTAGTAAACCTTATGCATCATTAGATTTGACTTGCTACGATTCTGTTTAAAAGCCATCGAATAGTGTCATAATTATTATGAGCGACATCAGGCACAGTTTTATATGCGACGTATATAGCATATACTTTTTTTATTAACTGGTTTTCTTTAATAAGCATAAATATAACATTGGGCGACGCGTTGTTGAAACGAACCACGTTTTAGATTGCCCCGCAAAAGATTGAATATTTAGACTCATTGCCGTATATCGCAAGTTAGATGCAATCGAGCATATTACTGTATATTCAATTAGATTCTTTGGCGATCACAAAACTGCTGATAGCGTCCAGGTAAATTATCCTATTATATAATGCAGACAGACTTCTATAATGTTCACAAATGATGATACGTATAGAGCCGTTATTTTTTATTTCAGTAAGGAGGGTCTAAGCTAGCTATTAAACATTAAGAGTGACCTTTGAAGTGTCGACTTCTCGATTACTCGGTCACATTTCGGTAGTGTGGAGTATCTTAGTACACTCTGCTTTTTCGTACGTTACATACGTATATCCTACGTTTTCGATAGTGCTCTGTCGCCAACCATTTAAGAAATATGTAAAATGCGGAGTACGACATCTAGATCAGGGCCTTGTTGGGCCGTCTGTGGTACTACACGAAATTCCTGATACTACACGAAAACCAGTTATTTTTACAATAAATTCAACATGGCTAACAGCAGTGCGTTGTTTTCTCAATTTATATAAGGATCAACGATTGTCCGACCTGGAAAAATGCCCATGAAAATTTAAAATAACCTTTTGTGCTCAAAATCGGCAGCCTACGTTATCGTCCGTTTTCTCACGATCTCTGAAAAATCCGAAAAGTATTTACATGGAGAAAATCGAAAGGTCATCAAAAAAGTTTAGATCTAAATAGTTCAAAAAGCCATTTTTAATACAGCTAGATTTATTAGATAAAGTCATTCTGAGCAGGAGAACAAAGACTATCCTGATAAGCTTTACCGGTTAGTATTTTTCTAATTTTTTTTCCTCCACTATGGATCCTTAAGACTTTTGACCGTCTTAACCTTTAAAACAAACTTTCTGGGATGCTTTATATGTAGCGTACTAGAGCGACACTTTAACAGGTTTACGCGTATCAATATCGTTTGATACATGAGAATAGCTAAAAAGTTACTCACGGATTAATGGAAAAATATTTTGAAAATTACGTTTTTGCTTGAAGTTAAACTCGCAGTAAATAGAGCTTATATTGAATAAGCATAACCATGAAAAATGTTGAAATATCTGGTTTTATTTATGGAAACAAAGCCCAATTTAGATGCCGCACCCTGTATACGGCGCGATGCTTATTTCTTGACAGAGCAATGAAAGCTTTCATTCCGAGAACCAGCGGCTGGGTAGAATGGTACACTCGATCGCTTCGATAAATTAAGTTAATATGGCTCGACTATGACTGCCGCAAATGAAATGAGAACAAAATACTACTATACAATAGCGTAGAACTCAACGTGGATGTGAAACGAGCCAAGTTTGTGGACGATGTATTTCGAGGAAGAAGCCTCAAAGCATTACACGGAAGCTATTAGTTGCTGAGAATAATATTGAGCGAACGATACAGAGCACCTTAAGGAGGGAACGTGTCATACCTGTATGGCTGAACAAACTAGCCTTTTCGATTCTAATGATGCATACGACAGGAATTAGTAGCGTTAGAGTGTTTCTGACAACTTTCCTTTTAATTTTAGCTCATAAAACTAATATGATTATCGAATAAATTACGATTAATAAAATATTTAAATAAAGCAAGACGGACGAAGAAATCTCCTACTCAGTTCGGGCATTATGAGCAATAGAAAATCTTCAACAAAGCCTAAAGCCTTTTGAATTTTTCCATCTCTACCGAATGATATACAATTTGAGCTTGTCGTAAACTTTGTTCTTATAGCTATTTCTTTCCGCATTTGAAAAATTTAGAAATTTTCACGTTTCAAGTTATACAAAAATATAACTATACTGAGTAAGTAGACCTACAAGTGAGAAGATGAAGGTAGCCGCAAGGCCAGCGAGGGTTCGTCCTGCCATCCGCATAAAAACGTAGACGACGACGATGTTTGTTAACGAGTGCAGAGAATCCCACCGATAGTTAAAGATAATTAACGCTAAGCCGGTAACCGTAAAAAAAATATGCTGTGCATTTGGGACGAGTTTGTGAACATACCAACGGTACACTACAGCCAACGGATACCCTGAAAGACCAGTTAAACGACAGAAGCGGTTTAGATGTTATGAATAAAAACTAGCTGAAAGATAAGTTTATATACATTATGTGCGCGTACGTGATAAGTATTATGCGATGACTTCTACCAACCTGCTCTAGGGATAACACCGATAACGATGAAGATACTACGTGACTTATCTTACTCAAATTAAGGTAAGAGAAAACGAGAAAAGTGCGAAGTCTTAACAAATTTTTGAATTTTCGTCTCAATTTTTTTTACTATTTACCAAAATGACAAAGAGAGCTTGTATGAATGAGGCAACAAGTGCTAACTATTTTTAGTACACATGTCCTTATACACTTTATAGAATTATAGATTCAAATGGTGTTTACGAGAAGACACAATATCTACGCATTTATGTACGTAGATTACGGGCGGTTTGCCTATTTCTGCATCCGAGCCATAATGCGCCCTTAGAAAGTTTACTCCAGATAATAAATTTCCTCACTTTTACTTCTAGCAAGCCATGCAGGCAATATAAAGAATCATGTCGGTTACACATCAATACAATTTCAACGATATGAGAGATATATTCAACCTTTGCTATCTCCCAGTCAGCCTGGTCCCCAGTCGACAAAAGCTAAGACTGCCATAGTAAAGTCCCAAATACTTATTGGAATAGGCAATACCGTATATGAGCATTGGTATTTATTTGGTGCTTATACGGCTCGGGAAATGATTGCTTCAATCCAATTTGACTAGTGAACGGCCACTTTATTAAAAACTTGAAAAACTCTGGTAGAAACTAACCTTCAAATTATAGAATTGCTGGTAAATGTGGTAAGATGTATTGTCGGCGTATGAAAACAGCGTCGTAGCAGCAAAGATTGGTGCTGGATAAAACATCCAAAACTTTATAACGGTTTTACCTTTGCCAATAAGCAATACATTTTCGGCGGATTACGTAGTGCCAAATTGCCAGTAGTGCTTTCACATTTCTTTGTTCTACTGATCTAGGGTTTTCTTCGTTTAGCAGTAGTCTGCTACAATATGTTCTCATCCATTGTCATTATATAAAAGCCAAAATGCAGAGGTATCTGTCAAAATGATCCTCTAAATCGCCTCCCTTTCGCTTTCATAATACAACCTTGTTATCTAACGGCCTTGCAAACGGCTTCCTAATGCGCTTCCTACTCCCACAAATCAAGTGACTGATATGGTGCAGATAAAGAAAGCGGAAGTCAATGATTCCCGGAAAAAGGCCGACCGACATTAGTGTCATAGATTCCCTTTCCTTATAGTAGAAAACCTAATATCAGCGGCAATCGTCCCCATGTGGCAATTATAGTTCGGCGCCAAACCGCAATACACCGAACATCCGCCTTTCGTTGACTTTATCTGTTGGCAAAGTTCAACGTTTAGGTAGGCAAAATACTATTAAATAGCAGTAAATTTAGTTACGTTGCTTTTACTTAATTTTAATTTACAACAGTTCTTAGCAGTTTACCATTGAGTACCTATCACGCAGCAGTGTATAGAATCGACGAATCACCATCCACATAAGAAATTCTGGCTAACGCACTCGGCTCGTCCAGTTCGAATATCATATTCAAAAGCCTATTTTTCTTAAAAGACTCAGCTATTGGAGCAAAGGCTATAAGGAAAACGAATATAGAAATAGGTAATTATCATCGCTTATTTGCACTTAGGCTTGTAGAACGCGCTTCGATTGAAAATTATGCACTTAAGGTTCTATTTATACCCCTTTTGGCGATCTAGGCAGCGGCAATGAGTAAAAAATAGCGATCTAGAAATGGCGTACGTAAGGTAGGCAAACCTGGCGAACTTGGTAGTTCGACATTTTTCGATGTATTCGAAAATGTACATATTAGGATGAAATCATTTACGTATATGTGTGCATACTAAATTAATAAAAAAAAAAGTCTACGGCATGCTTCTTTTTCCACGCGACATTGAATGCTCGGACATATTATAATCACCTTGATTGAACTGGCCGAGCAAATAAAGAGTGATCCATGTGTTCTAGCCCGTGGAAATTACTTCGTTCATTCGCGACGATCATATGACTACGTTCTTCAAATCATATTTGTACAGTACGGGACTAAGCACACCAGAAAAGCACCAGTCGTGTTTCAGACCGGTGATAATATTGGTTTTATTTAGCAAGATCGAAATCAGATCCTACTATTTATTAGCCCGGCGAGATATTCCTACGAAAATGACGTTGTGTCCAACAATGGCTGAACAGTCAAAGGCTTAAAATGTAGGAAACACGTAGGACATATGTTCACTTTTCGTCGTATCACGTGGTGTTGAGACGTACTAGATCTAGGTTGTCATCAACGCATAGATTATTATGTATATACAACATGTGTAACGTTTTCAACCTGTACGTAATGGCGCATAGCGAAACTCATGAGCAAAATAACGAGAGAGCAACAATAAACATCGTCAGATTGGGTGCACCGGTGCCGGTGGACCATCCAAGCAACACATGGTTCCGTAAAAGACAACCATGTAACATAAATACAATAGCTTTAAAAATTGTTCTTTGCACTGTCGGAATGAGCTGGTGGAGGGGGCTCGAACTGGTGAGAGTTCATCGGCCAGAAGTACCGAGCGAAGGGGCGATATTGCCTAATAAATAGTCTACCTTCAGACTAAACATGAAATGAATTTTTGAAAAAATCTGAAAGCTGTGGTCACTACTGTTCCGATTATTGCTTTTGAACGAAGTAAAATCGAATGCTTTGAAACTTCATTTACGTTTAGAGCACTTGCTTCTGCTAGTTGAATGGAAAAAATTCATTCATCAACAAAATCTCATCTTCTTTTCGAACTAAAACTTTTCCTGAAAGCTACCCTTTCTTGTCCCTAACGGTTTTCGATCTTCCGATGTATAAACGATAAACTTGCACTCATTTCGAATAATCCCACTCGAATACGAAAGCCATCCCCGAACACACTTAACCCAATCTGCTTATGTTTGCTATTTTGCTTAGCAGTAGCAGACGAATTTGCTGCGTTGACATAGAGGCAGTCTGGCGGAAAGTATCTTCCAGGGTACAGTGTTACCCAGCCGATTGCACTTCTCCGAAAAGTAGTCAATACGTCATTTACTGCATTAGTATCTTAAACCATAGTCAATGCTGACGCAAATACGTATCCGGCTTGACCATATCAGAGCTCAAACCTTTTTTTTTTTGGTTTCTATCTAAAATATCTACAAAAAGATATGTTTAGGATTAGAAACGACAGAATCAGGCTGTGTTCAGTTAGTAAAACTGGTATAATTATTAGTCTAATTTCTATAATTTACAATATATCCCCACTAAACTTCCCACAAAAACTGTCGCTGCACAGCAGAACGTCCCGTGAGAACCATATATATTAGACTCTATTGCTTATCTAAAACTGCAAATGCTTTCCCAACTTTTCAAAGGATTGAATTTGAAAGCCATTATATACTATTATAATTGTTCGCTTGCCAACCCTCGGACAGTTAAGATATCGATGAATCTATTGGAAAGGCCTATAACCTACCTATTTACTGGAATGTAAAGTAGCTCACGCGACTAAGCCATGAAATGTGTGCTATATCCATACGGTACTTTTCGAATGTGGTCGAAATAAATGAACTGGCTGCGTATAAAAAGATACTTATGTTGGAAAGAAAGTTCCCGCGCTGTAAAAAAGTTTTTGGCTCACTTCTCAGTTTTTGGTTATCCCTTTACGATTTGAAAGCGCGCTCCTTACTCTATTAACGTGCTGAAGCAATATCGGGCTGTAAGTACCATTTTATTTCAAAGAGGGTTGCACCTTAGAGTCTTAAACTTATACAGAAACCCTCTGAATCCGACAGAGAATAACGACTTAACGCTGCATCTTATTTCGCTTGCTATTAACCATCACGCGGCCACAATAACTGATTTTTGCACAAAATCATCAAGAAGTGATATCTGTATGACAACATGAACTAGAGATCGGATTGGGTGGGTTCCAAGAGATGATTGTTTTATGCCCGGTATCGCCGCTAGGTATTCTATGAGACGGCTGGCTCGCAGCTCGAAACGAAATATGTTTATATCCGGATTCAAGCCTAGACCACAACATGTCTCTAGGACTTGCAGGCAAATACATTACCCACTAAGTTATTATGTAAACAGGAAAGAAACCAAGACTAAGGTTCCACACAGATTTTCATCCAAAAAAATGTATACTTACCGCTTGATGGAACTGGAAGGCTTGATTCACTCTGAATTGTTGCCTACGAACCAAATAGTTGATCACGTTGGCACATTTATTTAGCTTAGTTACATCAAATCAACTAGTCGGTTCAAAAGAAAAGACAAAGTCAGGCTATCCTGAAAACTGAAGAAAACCAGAAACCTTCTAGTCTGGTGCTCCTACTGGTTAAGTTGTTAACGGCTAGACTCTAATATCCTATTGAAGCAAGTCTATCACGTCGCCCTTCTGGAGATAGCGTTCTGATCAATAACGACCTATTTAGCTTCGTTCAACTAGCCGAGGTAAAAAAAAATACGCTTTAATTTTTGATCACTGGTAAAGACATTCATATACTTAAGGTCTACTTAACATGGCTGAAAGAACGTTCATGGACAGTATACGTAGCTTCTGTCGTGTCTATACGCATTCTACAACAAACGACGTAACTCGACTTAGGTTGTCGATTGTCTCGCGGATCAATAAAAGTGCTTTTACGGAAAAGCCGCCAGAACCTCGACGGGTGCGTACACTGCCAATGTTTTCACCTTTAGCGGTAAGAGCACTCAGCCTTTGTGTTTTGCCTAGCTTTATGCTCGTTGGACAATAATTTTATAAACAAAGCTTACATCGGTGAGCTCGACTGCTAAGACTGATCAGCCAATCCGAGGAATCTACTGTCCCGTAGATTAGTATAGCCAACGCGGCACGCTAGAGAAATAATTGGACCGTGTACAAGACGTAAGCCTTAAATTGAGGTAGAACCCATAGTTACGGGTACG